TCCCCTGGCACGTGGCACTACCAGCTCTGGCTCTCTCCAAAGCCCAGGGCTGGGAAAGAACAGTAAGTGTGATCAACCTAAGAACAGCTAACTGTTTTTGAGGCTCATCGTGTGCTCAAGACATCACCATGCTATCTGCTTAATCCTCCAGCAGCCTGTGAAGTGGGTTCCCCTTTTCCACCCTGGGCGAACACCTGTCCCATGCCACAGTGTGGAGTAGCATCCAGGGAGCCCTGGATCTGGACGCTATTTGGAGCCCACCCTTGACCCCCACGGCCTCCTCCCCCATACTGCTGGCTTTCCCTCCGGTGGGCGGGAACTTTTCGGAGGGTTCCAGGACAGCACTTCAGCTGCCCCCTCAGAGCTCACGATGCCTGAGCGTGTGGCTCACCCAGACTGGAACCCCGTCCTGGGGCTTTTGCATGCAGAGCCAGGTGATAACAAGGCCTGTTTTGCTGCCTTTAAAAAAGAAAGAAAACTGCCCCCTGCGTGGGCGGCATCTCCAGAAGTGCAATTAACAACGCCATGTCCCCAGGTTAACAAGTGCGCATCTGTTCCCTTCTCCCTTCTCCCCGCTATGGCCAGCAAAATGGTCCCTCTGCCGTCCCCGTCCCCGTTAGCACTCCGGCCAGCCGTCCGGGCCCTGCGGGTCCCCACGCGCCTGCCGTCTGGTCAACAGCGGAGGGTGGTCCTGGTGTTGGCGGAGCGCGCTCTGTCTTGGCAGCCTGCTAAGCACTTTCCATGGATCATTTCACTTAATCCTCGTAACTGCCTCCGTGGCGGCCAGTCCTATTATTTCCCCCATTTTCTAGGACTGAGGCTCTGGGAGCTGAAGGGATGTGCGCAAAAGTCCCCTGCTCCACAAATGGTAGGCGCCGTCGTCGTCGAATCCTGTAAGAGAAATGGATTACATTCCCTATCCACGCCGTCGCTCTTTTGGCTCCAGCTCGCGGTCCCCGCCTCCCCTTGGTGGAACTGCCTGTCCCGCTGCGGACTGAGGAGCGCGGAAGACGGAAGCGGACGCGGTGCCACGTGCGCGGGGGGCGAGCGGGAGGCGGCGGGACCTAGACGGTGTGATGCGGCGGCGGCGCCGGAAATGGCGGAGTAAACGCTGCGGTGGCGGGGAGCGGGTGGTGGGAAGGGGTGGAGGGGTCAGCGAGGACTTCTGCACACGAAGAAAAGGCGGGAGAGAGCGGGGCGCCCCAGCCCCAGGCCCTGCCCACCCCCCTCTGCGGGGGACTGAGATGGTCCATTCTGGCCAATGGCGGGATGTCTTTAAAAGGTGCCCTGAAGTCCCTCCTTGCTGGGCCGGCCCGCCATCCGGTCCCGTGAACCAGAAGCCCCTCTCCTCGGCCGCTGTGCCGCCTGCACGCGGTGAGGCCCACTCGGGGTTATGCGTTTTGAGTTGGTGATACCTCTGCCTCAGGGACTGACCCCCGCCCCCCACATGCGCATCGTCCTTAGCTCTTTCTCCTGTATGGCGCCCCAAGCTGCTCCGAGCGGGGCCGTCAGGAATCTCCATCCCCAAGTTACAGATGGGGAAACTGAGGCCCTGCAGCTGGGGGTCAGCTGCCCAGGTACGGGGGATCTGGGATTCTGCCTCGGCCTGACCCGCTGAGAATCCTGGGTTAAAAAGAGAGGCCGGTCCCAAAGCTGGTGACCCGGCCTCGGGTGACCCTTGAGCAGCTCCCTGCCCCTTGGAACCTCAGTCTTCCCATCTGTCAAATAGGGATGAGGGTCACTTCACAGTCAGTGCACGAGCTCCAGCTGAGCGCCTGCTGTGTGCGAGGTGCTGCGCCGAGCAGACCAGACGTGCGCCTCCCCCACGCAGCCAGGGTCTGATGGGGTCCCGTCCCCCAGGCAGCCAGGGTCTGATGGGGGAGGGCGACAGCTCACAAGTGGAAAACATGACGACACCCATCGGGTTCCGCAGTGTCTGCCAGTGCCGGGCGCTGAGTAACTCCAGGGTCACCCCCAACCCTTGGAGCTCGGTGAGGGGGCGGCTTTATCTCTGGGTCCTGGCGTGGGGGGCCGGTATGCCGGCCCCCTCGAGGAGCTGGGACCGAGGGCCTCTCCCAAGCTAGGCAAGCTCTGACTTGAGGCGGCTTCCGTGGGACTAATTTATGGCAGCTGCTCGGCAGCCCGGGGAGCCGCGGTCCTAGGGGGTGTTGGGTCCCCCTAGCTGGAATGAATCCGGCGGGAGGATGAGTTTGGTCGTGCTTGGGTTGTCAAGAACTGAAGAATAATATTCTCTCTGAAAAATATTCCTGGTGGATACGAGCCTCGCTTGCTCCTATAGGCAGAGGCTGGGGAATCCACGTGCTCTGTGATGTGGGGCAAGCCCTGCACCCTCTCTGAGCCCCAGGTGCCCCTCTAAAGTGGGGAGAAGGGTCTGCCAGCTGCTGAGTTGGGATAATACACCGCGGTGTTCAGCTGTGCCTGGCACAGCCTCATTAATTCCACCCCAAGTAAGAAGAGTAGCTGTCTCTGGCGCATGGCGTGCTTACGAGTCGTCTGTAGCTTGGAAATAAGGCATCTTTAGGAAATTTGGCTATTTGAGTCAGTCTGGAACCATCACCCAGCAAACCCAGCTTCTAGAAAAGTCGCCAAGTGTGCTCCATCTCAGCCTGCAACTCAGGAAGCTCCGACTCCCCTTCACCTTCCTGGTGCAGCAGCCACAGAGCAAGGGAGCCGGGTGGGAGGGCGGGCCTCGGTCAGGTTTCTCTCTAGCCGTGCAAACTTCGGCGAGGGGCCTCGGTTTCCTATCTGTAAAATGGGCACAAGCACGGCTGTGTCAGCTCCTTGAGATAACGTGTGTAAAGTGAGGTAAGGAACCCCTTTAGAATTCGTCTCTGTCTCTCCCTCTGGCAGATGCTACGCCTCCCCCTCGTCCAGATCTCGCCATGCTTGGAACAAAATTCCTTCTGGGGGTATTAAGCAGCGGGGTGTCACTGGGAGCAAGGCAGGCGTGGGCTCAAGAGCAGAGGCGTGGGGGCTGTGCGTCGGCATTGCTGGAATCCAGGGCCTGCCGTGTGCGAGGGCACCCTGCATCTGACGTCTGCAGCTTCCTGGGGTACCTTCTCCCCGGGGAGCCCCGGGTATGGCGTTAGTGGCGTCCCAGCTGCACTGTATGAAGCAGCTTTGAAACCCCAAGCTCAGAGCCGCAGCTTCCCCTTCTGTGAAATGGGGCAAAGACCCCAATTTCCCGGGCAGGAATGTGCCCCTCTGGCCAGTCCCAAGGAGAGGACAAGGCTTGGGGGCTTCTAGATGGCTGTAAGGACCCCTCACCTCCTGAGCTCCCAGATACTAATGACAGCCCTGTCGGGGGATCGCTGTAGATGCCAGACCATGACGAGACCCTGAGGGAGATGACATCACCCTCACCAATGAGGAACTGAAGCTCAGAGAGGGCAAGTGGCAGACCCCCGGCCACACAGCGGTGGGGCTGGGATTCGATCCCCGGTCTGTGACTCCGAAATGACTGTGCTGTGACACCGTCTCCTGGCCTCACCCTCAGCTCCAGGAGGAGGATGAAGACAGTGTCTGCCTTGTTTCCTGCTGGATCCGCAGGGCCAGCGCCACTCCTGGCACATCTAGGGACCCCATAGAGGCTTGTTAATGGAATGAATGAGGGAAGGAGCAAAGAAGATGGTATTCGTCCCCAGCCCCTCCCAGCATGCAGGTCCCAAAGCTGGGTGTCTCTGGGGCCCCAGGGTGGGGACCCCAAACCTAGTTGTCACAGCCTGGTCTGGGCTGCCTAGACCCATCCTTCTGGGAGGATTTTCTTTGCAGGCTGTGGCTCAGCTCCCGGGGGAGGCCTCCCCTTAATCCCAGAGGGCAGATGGGTGGGGTAGCTCCTGCCTGGCACAGGGCCCTGCTGGGCTGCACAGTGTGCTGAGGCGGGCGGGCCGGTCGTGGAGTTCAGTATCTGGGTGTGCTCCCTCGGCTGGATCTGGGTGCCCACTCCCAACTTCAGCTTTTCTCACTTATACTGAGTCAGAAATTCACCACCAGCCCATCTTCAAACCCAACTCTGCCCCTTCCTGGCTGTGTGACCTTGGGCAGGTCACCTCTCCTCTCTGAGAGTCAGGCTCTAGGAAAGAGAAATAATGAGAATATTCATTAACATAGAGCAGGTCTCAGAACAGAACCAATGGTCACTTGGCAGCTGTAAATTAGAAGTCCTCCAAAATGACTGCTCCATTCCTTCCTTGCCTCAGAACTCCCAGTTCATGCTCTCTTCTAGTCTAATTCATACTAAGGTGTGAATGGTTGTCAAACTGCCTTTCCCCTCATGAGTGTCTAACCCAGACATCGCTGTGATCTGTGGTTTTTTGGTACTTTATGATTGAGTGGGAAGGAAACTGAGGGTTCATCGAGAGTGTAGAAGAGGAATAGACTCCTCACCCCTATCACCCAAAGTCCTTTCATATAGCAGCCGGGGATGGGCAAAGGGTGCTGGTCTTGTTTGAGAGTCTAGACTTAGTCTTTACTGCTCTGAGCAGTTTGGCACTGTTTAAGGAAGTTCCCAACACATAGTAGGCCCTTAGCATCTGTCTGTCTGGAGGATGACAAGAGAATGGGCTGTGTTCTGGACCTGGACAATCCTCCCCTCCACCCTTTCACTGCATCTGGCGAACTCCTACACATCCTTCAATGCCCAGTTTAGATGCCTCTCCTCCAGGAAGCCTTCCCAACTTCCTTCAGGTCCAGTTAATCTTTTGGGAACTCTAGTCCATTAGAGATGGGCAAACCCTGAGTTTATCCTGCCCAACTCTCCTATTTCCCAAGGGGGAAGACTGAGCCCTAGCAGGGGGCCTTCCCTTGGCTGAGCCTCACAGCCAAGTCAGAGGCGACAGCTGGGGCATTTGAACCAACCTTCTCTAGAGCCCCTCAGAGCATCTTCAGGCACAGAAAGAGGGCCTGGACCCATGCTCCCCCCATTAGGGCCTCCCGCAGAGCCTAACAGCTAACATCCTCTCTTGCTTCTGTCTCCACAGCCCACGACCTCCCCGCAAACAAGGCCTCGGCAACCCAGTCTGGCAGCCATTTGCAGTGCCTGTCTGTCCACTGCACGGACGACGTGGGCGACGCCAAGGCCCGAGCCTCCGTGCCCACCTGGCGCTCCCTGCACTCCGACATTTCCAACAGATTCGGGACTTTCGTGGCCGCCCTAACTTGAATTGACAAGAAATGCCCCTCCCCCACCAGGCCCTTCCCTCCCCCCTCTCTCCCCCCCTCCTCCGACCCCCACCCCCCTGTTAATTTGCAAGGGCCACTATTGCTGAGTGGATGATTTTTTTCCTAGGTTGGTACCTGCTTAGTGGCATATGGACCGGAAAGGGTTAATTTAAAGGGGAAAAAAAAAAAACCTCAAAAAATTTTTTTAAAAAAGAAACTCGTCTGCCACGGTATGTTACCAGTGTTAACCCCTTCTGCAGTTAGCAAACTTTTGCTTAAGCCTTTTTCCTGCTAGATAATTCCCCATTTTTCGGTAATCTTGGCATACATTTTTTAGATGACCTCTTTCCTTGTTTAATTTTCATGCTGCTGTGTGCCCAAGTATTGTTATTTCATAATAAGACAAGAATTGCTTTCCTTTTTTATTCTCTTTTATTCTTGTTCCTTTTCTCCCCTCCTCCCCACCCCTGTTTTTTTTTTTTTTCCCCTTTTGCTTTGTTCACTGCTTATTAAAATGGAAATCCTGGAGAATAGTAGTTCTGGAATATTGCCGGGTGAAAGTCGAATTGTCATCACAATATTATATATTGACACCCAACTGTCATCAGGCAGGCAGGAGCCAAACAATTAATGCCCCCCTTAGGTATTCTGCCGGGGATTTTGTTTTGTCTGTTCCCTGAGAAAACAGAGATATATATTTGGGCTCCTGCAAACACACGCTCAGCCTTGGGCTCCGTTCTCGCTTCTGCGGGAAGCTGCCGCTCTCTGCAACGGAGGTGATGACGTGTCCAGCCCGCTCTGTGGGAAGGAGCCGGAATGTTCCACAGTGCTGTTTTCTCTCCTTTTCTGGGCCTCTGCGCAGACGCCTGGGCTCTGAATGTTCACACCGTGCTAAGCAGCCCTGGTCCGCCTGGGGGACGGTGCCTCCGTCCAGCTTGCTGGGTGTCTGGGGGCTCCAGGCTTTGGCCGTGCAGCAGCCAGGCCGGCTGGGTCTTGGGTGCTGGAGTTGGGGAGGAGCAGTTCTCAGCCCTCGGCCTTTCTGGACAGCTCTTCCCAGCCAGGCGTCCCCGGGGAAGGAGGAGGGACTGGGTGGCCCTCCTCCACCTCTTCCATTTGGTCCCCGCTCTCCATCTATTTTCCCGCCTCAACCTGGGCCGCCCCCCCAGCCCTGGGAGGGACGAGGCTTTTGCCAGCATTTTTTGGGGGCGTCTTTCAGCGAAGGAGCCTCCAGGCCCAGCCTGCCAAGCCAGCCTTCTCCGAGCCTGGGTGTATTTCTTTGCAGGGGTTTGCAGGCTCCTGAGGGCTAGAGGAGGACGAAAGGGGATATAACTAATGACTTTGATTCCTGAGCCTTTTTCTTAACTCCGGAATTTTTTTCCCCTTTGGATTTCATCTCACCTTGTTGCAGAACTAGAGCCACATCCCGCGCGTCTCATGGAGGAATGACTTTGAGCAGAGAGGAGGGGGCGGCTGGGCGAGCAGGGCAGTGGAGAGCGGGGCTCCTGGACTAGCCTCTTACCTGGTTCTCCCAAGGTGGGGGTCACAGGCGTCCAGGGTTGGCAGGGCAGCCACCTCGGGGTGCTGGTGATGGGCTTGTATGACTCGTGGGGGTGGTGGGGGCACCCAGATTCCAGGGTGGGCCAGACAAGAAGTGACTAACATCACTTCACCCCAACTCTTCTCTTTTATTTCAGCTTCTGTTCCTGATCGTGTCTTACCAAATGTTCCATTTTGAGCCTCTCACCCTCTCCCCGACCCCAGGCCCCCAGAGTTTGCAGTCCTGGCTTTTTTTAGCAGTGACCTGAGGGCTTTGGGCTCACCCCACAACACCCACCTTGTTTATTTCAAAGAACTTTTCAGCAAATGGAGAAGAGCGTCCAGAAAACTCCCCCCCTTTCCCCTCCCTCCTCCTTTTCTTTCCTTCGGCCGGCCCTTTGGGCTCGGGTCCGAGTCTGGACCTTCCGAGGTTCCTGCCTGGGCCGTCTGACCGGGAGCCGACCCCGGCAGGCACAAGCAGGTGGTGTGAATTTATCAGCGGGGAGGTGTGAGCCGACTCACTTCCTGTGTTCTGCCACCAGAGGAAAGAAAAGGGGGGGAGTGTTCCCCCGGCCCCAGGCTGCAAGAGAAACAGCCGAGTCTGAGCGAAACCTCGTGCCCCCTCTGCATCCACAGTGTACAGCTGTTTGAGAGCTTCATCATTTCATTTTTGAAACAGGAATAATTTCTCCTTAATTGCTTAAGGCCGGGGAGCCAAAAGCATCTTGACTTCTGTCTTTGACCTTCCCTGCGTCGAGTCCATCAACACTCGGCCATCAGCTCATGGTCCCAGCCACCTTGGAAACCCCTGAAGTTTGAAAATTTCTCGCTCCCCACGACCCCAGAATGGAACAACTTTACAAATAGCCTTAAGCAAAAGGATGTTATTTCATTAAATTGGGTTGAATGGAAGGAATAGAAGCAAATTAAAAACACAGCCAATCCGCGGAGACTCCAAACACTGGTAATCGGTACTACAGAGCAAACTCTTCGGGAAAGAAAACGAAAATGTTCTTGCACATGTAAAATATGAAAACTTAACTCTGCTGTGTGTTAGGCAATCCTGTAATCTTTTTTGACTCTTAAAAGAAATTCATTTCTGAAATGCTTGGTTGGAAGACTGTGACAATAGCTCATGAAATTGAGTGTTATTTTTTTCTTTCTTTTTTTAAAAAAAATATGTAAAGTGCAGTCTTCTGTATTCATGCATATTGTATATACCTGTATATGTTTTCCTGAGCAGCTAAATAACAATAAATATGACGTTAATGGTGACGGTGGTCCATTTGTGGGCGGGGCTTGCTTTTTTCCCTGCCCCTTCCCCTTTCTCCATAGGTCTCTTTAAATTCCATGGGGGTGGGAGTATAGGTCTGGATGCCGTAGTGTGTGTGTGTGTGTGTGCGTGTGTGGGTGTGCGCGCGCGTGCGTCTGTTGATGCTGTTCTAAGTTGGGGCATCTCAGGATTTCTCCACTCGGCACTACTGACACTTGGGCTGGATCATTCTTTGTGATGGGGGTTGTCCTGCGCATTGTAGGGTGTTGAGCAGTGTCCCTGGCCTCTACCCACCAGATGCCAGTAGCACCTCTCCCCCCCGCCCCCTCCCCTGTGACAACCCAAAATGTCTCCAAACATTGTCCAGTGTCCCCTGCAGGGAGTGACTCCCCCGGGCTGAGAACCACTGATATCTGATTAGTGGAGGAGGAAGGAGGGGAGGGGAGACCACCCAGGCGGCTGAGCTGTGTGATGGTTATTCTCTTGGGTCCCAGCGCTCAATTTCAGATCCCAGTAAGCTTTGTAACCTTCTGCAAGTTACATAGCGTCTCAGCTCCTGCTTTTCCTCATCTGTGAAATGGGTCTAACTTATGGGGTTGTTAGAGGAGACAATGTGTGTGCATGCAGGAGGGCTCCATGTGCATAAATTGCTAGCATTGTGCCACCATCAGAGCAGGGCACGGCCGACAGCGTTTTGGATTCTGGCTGAGCTCGGCTGGATGCTGCTTCCTCCACTTATAGCCATGGCCGCGGGCAAGTGTTTTAACCCCCGTCTCCGTTTTCGTGTCTCTAAAATGGAGCAAACAACATCTGGCTTGAAGGTGACTGAGCACCAGCCCTGTTCCAGGCCCTGTAAGAGCTCTGGCTGTCCTGTGGGCCACCCTCTGGACGGCAGCTTCACTGTTGGCACCTGCAGCCTCAGACTTGAGGTCATTGAAGAACCTTAGTCTGCAAAGGGGGAAATGAGGGGAAGAGATAGCAGGTAAATTGACAGTTAAAAGTGATGGGAATATGCCTAATAACCCATGGCAGTATGAGAAATGAATGTCACTCTGGGAGATGCATGAATCCCATGTAGGTCATGTCCAAGTGGGGTTTTCAAGGATGAGTAGGAGTTCATCCTCTTCATCCTGGCATATAAATTGACCTAATTTGGCAGAAATTTTGTTGCATTTCTTCCTTTTTAAAGTTTTCTTTATATATGTGGCATATTTGTCAGAATATAAAGTTTTAAGGATGAGGTCTCTATATTCACTTTAATTTGGAGGAGCTTAAAAATCTCTTTAACCTTTAAAGGTCTCCAGCTCAAAGTGACAGTGGTATATGATCATGTTCAGCACCCCAGGAAGGGAAGGAAGGTGAAAGAATGGTGAGCATTGGGTGTGGGCATCTCGGAGACTTCAGGTTGGTGTGAAATGAATGGATGAGTGAGTGAATGGATCCATGTCTCAGAGCACCCAAAAACCAAAACGACCTCAGACTGGCCTGTCGTTGGGGGCAGGTAGGAACACATGACATGGGGGCTGCAGCATCGGGGTGCATGCTGGCCCCGGGGAGGGCCAGGGGAGGGCTGCAGAAGCAGCTGCTCCATCTTGCAGGGTGGCCTTTCCGTGTTGACAGAGAACATCATCTTCGCCAGCTGTCCCGCTGCACCCCTCCGAGTGGCTGCCTCCTCCACCCAGCATTGACAATTCCAGAAGGCTGGGGGGCTGTCTCACGGGAGGGGGTGGAGGAGGAGCCAGGTGGACCCTCTGCCCTTCAGGAGCTGGTGGGAGTGCAAAGGAGGACTCCCCATCCCACTTTGTTTTAAAAAGATTAGAACAAGATCCCAAGACCAGAGTGAAGCGTGGATTTCCCGGATCCCTGACAGGGGATTAGCAGGGAGGACCCCACCCGGGGCCCCACACTTGACCGCAGAAGAGACGGAGGGTGTGGGAGACACCAAGTTTTTGCCCCCAGACCAGGCTGACCTGACCTGGAAGCGATTGGGGGTGAGTACCAAATTCTGCTACTACAACACAGTGTGATAGGATGGGAATAAGACCCAAATTCTGCAACTCTAGCATCTCCTGACGACGTGCCCCACGAACCTCGGAAGAATTTGTTTTCATTGAGATAAATTTATATAACACAAAATTCACCATTTTAATGATTTCAATGTGTGTAATTCAGTGGCTTTTAGTATATTCACAATGTTGTGCAACCATCATGCTATCCAATTCTAGAACATTCTTATCACCCAAAAAAGAAACTCTGTACCCATTTTCAGTCAATTCCAATTACCCCCTCCTTCCAGCCTCTGGCAACCACTAATTTACTTTCTGTCTCTATGGCTTTGCCTATTCTGGACATTTCATATGAATGGAAT